ACAGCAACCTCAACAGGCTCGACCGGGTCTACCTGAGACACACTTGAGGGAGCGGCACCCTGAGGGGGGAGGGGGTCTACGACAGCAGCACCTGGCGCGAGGAAGAGAGGCGGGGGTGGGAGCGGGGCAGTGCGGTAGGGGAAGAGGCAGTAGTAGGGGACCGACTCGTCAAAAGTGACGTCCTGAGAGGCCAAGACCCGGCGCGAGGTGGCATGGTAAAACTTCCAGCCAGGCGCGTTCGGAACATAGCCGAGGAAGACGCAGGGAACAGCACGAGAGGAGAGCTTGTCCGCAGACGAATTGCGAACAAAAGCTTGAGATCCCCAGACCCGGAAACGCGACGCATCGCCAACCTCCCCCGTCCACAGCAGTGTGGGCGAGGTCTCCGGCAAGGAGACACGGGGCCAGAGGTTGAGCTGATGCGCAGCGTACCGGACCGCAAACAGCCACAGAAAATGGGGGGCAGCCGCATGGATCAAGGAGGTACGAGCGACCTCCATGACCAGGCCAATGCGGCGCTCCGCAACCCCATTCTGCTGTGGAGAGGCCGGAAGCGTGAACGACTGCTCAATGCCCTTCTCAGCACAGTAGGCTGCCAAGAGGTCGGAGGAGAACTCACCACCTCTGTCAGAGTGCAAGCGCATGACAGGAAAGTCCGAGCAGAAACGCTTGCTGAGCTGGAGACGAGCTCTGCGGATCCAAGGGATCAAAACATCAAGGACCTCACCCTTGGTGCGCAAGGGGAAGACCGTGGTGTAGCGCGAGTAGTCGTCAACAACGATCAGGAAGTACCTCTCCTGACCCTGACCACGGACGCGGGCTGGGCCCCACACGTCCATGTGGAGCGTCTGCAAAGGAGCAGTCGTCGGGGGAAACGAGGAGGAGTGAGGAGCGGCGCGCTGCCGCCCCTCGACACAGGGAAGGCAGGGAGGAGCAGGCGAGGGTGGGAGAGGAGGGAGAACTCTGGGAAGACCAGAGACAAGGTACCGGGAGTGCATGGCACGAAGGCGCTGCACAGACGGATGGCCAAGTCGGCGGTGCTAGAGGACAGTCTCGTGCGCTAGAGAGCGACACGAGCAGGGGGCAGACAGCTGACGTGACACAGACGCAAACGCAGACGCAGACGCAGCGACCTGAGGGGAGGCAGTAGTCAGTGTGTACAGGTCCGACCCCGGCTGCCGGGTGAAGGTAGCCAAGTGGCGGCCCGTACGAGCACACGTGCAGTGTGTCACACGCTCGTAGGCAGGGGTGAACTGGTGAACACCCCCGTCCTGGAGAGCAGAACCTGCCACCAAGTTCGTGGAGAACGAGGGGAGGTGGAGACCTGACAGTGTGCCCGACGGGACCGCAGGACAGGGAAGGACAGTGGAGGAGGTCGCAATGACCGGACCCCCAGAGGGGTCAGCAAGGGAGACAGCAACTGGCCGAGCAAGGGGCTCAAGGGCAGTGCGGTCACGAAAGAAACAGCGAGAGTCACCTGAATCCAGCGTGAAGGTGTGCAGTGCTGCAGTCGACACAGTACCAGGGGGGGCAGACACGCACGCACCTAGAGCAGCAGCCTCACCAGCACCTGGGGTAGCAGACACGTGGGTACCTGGAGCAGCAGACGCACTCGTCCTAATGCCCGGGTCGGGCGGGACACTCAGGTACTCAGAACCCTCTCCACTAGTAGACATCACATACATGGCAGAGAGAATAGCATCAAAATCTATAGCATAGATATCAATCCCCTTCTTCAGGAGATCAAGCCAGCGGGGCAGCTCAGTGGCCTGAGGGAACTGAACACGCCAAGCGTCGCTCAGACGAGCGAAGCAACGCTGAGTGGCGTGCGGTCCCCCACACGGCTGGCCAGTGCGGTCACCAGTGCGAATGACGTACGTGCAGCTAAGGCCACCCCCCCCCCCCCCCCCCCCCCCCGTGCTGAGAGTACCACTCACGGACCTCCTGGGGCGAGGGAGTGTGCTGCTGTCCCTGGCCACCGCCAGTGCCGCCACGCCCACCACTCCCGCCACCACCTCCTCGACCACCCCAACCCCTGCCGCCGCCTCGTCCACCGCCACCCCCACTACCTCCTCCGCCCCGGCCACCTCCCACGCCGCTGCCGCCACCCCCCCACTGCTGCCACCTCCCCCACCCGCGCCACCCCCCCCGGCACCACCACCTCCCCCACCACCGCCACCCCCGCTGTCACCACCACCGCCCTTGCCCCCCTTGCCCTTGGCGCTGCGGCGTCCGCCCGAAGCAGACTCAGTCCCGACCTTCTCAGCACCAAGGAGGTCGACAGCAGCAGCAGAGGCGACAGAGGGAAGAAGGGGGGAGGGAGAACACCCCTCAAAGAACGGGGTGCGGGGGTCACCGCGAGAGGCACCTACAGCGACTATGCTAGTCTCGGCTGCAAGGAGTTCCTTCTCGAGGAGGGCAATGGTGAGCTCGGTGGGGCAGCGAGCGAGGAAGTGGTCCCTGACTGAGCGCAGCGAGTCAGGGAGGCGCGTGACTAGGTGGTAGAGAGTGATCCCGAGCGGGGGTGGGTTCGTGGCGAGGAACTCATCAGGCATAGCGGCGCGGAAGCGAGCCTCACTAGTGCGGAGGTGGGTAATGAGGTCAGCGACAGTGTGAAAGGAAGCTAAGTCGGGGAACAGGTAGGGAAGAGAGAGACGGCCTAGAGCAGCAGAGGCCGGTGAGGAGTAGCGGGCAACGAAAGCAGTGTACAGTGCCTGTGCAGTCTTGTGCTGCCCAAAGTGCTCGCGCTCATCTATCGGTAGAGAGTTGCGGATAGCAAAGCGAGCATGGGCGTCACGAGTTTGCCACTGTGAGCGAGCAGTGCTGTCGGCAGTAGCAGCTGGAGCAGTAGCGTGGCCTAGGGCGTGATCGTACAGCGAGATGTCTTCCTTGGCAGTGAGCTGTAGGAAGAGGTGTAGGTCATCAAGCCAGGTGTCGAACTTCACTGGGCGCCCCTCAGCATCGAAGGCTAGCACTGGAGGGCTAGCCATGGTAGCAGCAGTAGTAAAAGCAGTAGGAGCAGTAGGTAGGTAGGGCGGCGCGGCTCGGTACAGGTAGGGCGGCGCGGCTCGGTATAGGTAGGGCGGCGCGGCTCGGGTCGGGCGGCGCGGCTCGGTTCGGGCGGCTCGGGTCGGGCGGCGCGGCTCGGGTCGGGCGGCTCGGTTCGGGCGGCTCGGTTCCGTTAGGGCCGGGCCGTTCGGTGCGGGCGGCGCGGTCTAGGCAGGGCCGTTCGAGGCGGCTAAGGGGAGCGCGGGGAGCGGGTGGGGTTGGGGACGGGGCCGACGCGGGCCGAAAGGGGAAGGGACGGGGCCGACGCGGGCTGTAAGGGGTAGGGACGGGGCCGACGCGGGCTGTTAGGGGTAGGGACGGGGCCGACGCGGGCCTCTAGGGGTAGGGACGGGGGCCGACGCGGGCCTCTAGGGGTAGGATCGGGGCCGTCGCGAGCCTCTAGGGGTAGGGACGGGGCCGTGGCGGGCCTCTAGGGGTAAGGACGGGGCCGTCGCGGGCCTCTAGGGGTAGGCTCGGGGCCGACGCGGGCCTCTAGGGTAGGCGCGGGGCCGACACGGGCCTCTAGGGGACGAGCTCGGGGCCGACGCGGGCCGTTAGGGTTAGGCGCGTGGCCGATTCGGGGCCTCTAGGTGCAACAGCGCGGGGCCTACAGGGCCTCTAGAGGCGTGAACGTCAAGGCGCCCTAGGGCAGGTAGGCAGATAGGCAGGTAGGTAGTGGTGGGCCCTTAGGAAAAACGGTCCTAGGAAGGACCTGCTCTATACCATGTTGAACAAGGAATGAAATGACTAAGAATGAAATGAGTACAAATATGGAAACCTAGAAGTGTGTACCCCCTATAGGCTAACCCACTGTAGCCTAAACAACTACAACAATATATATAATGTTTGACAGTTTGTTCATGACTGTTAATGTCTTGTTCATGTTTCTGTCGTAAGTTTTCGTATGTCTCTCGTGATGCTCACGGTGAATGGCGAATCTTTTTGCTAGGAGATATTTTTGCGTTGGTCTAAGGTTGAAAATGGCGCGATAATCTGGACTGTGCGTGTGGCCCAGATCTCGCGTGTCGCCCCGCATGGGCCGCGCGTGTGCTTCGCCACTGTTGCGAGCGTGGAAGGGACCACGATCGCAACAAGACAAGGTGATAATGATGGGAAAGTCGACAGCGAGCAGCAAAGTCGACAAGCTCGGCAACTAAGGCAGACGCAGCAGTGGAAGGGTCAGTGACAACAGTAGCCAGGAGACGCGTGACAGTAGGACTGGCAGCAAGAAGAGAGTCAGACTCCGGGCCAGCAAGAATAGGAAGAGAGGACTCTAGAGGAGACGGCAACGGGACACGCAGAGGAGCAGTGGAAGGACGCAGTGCCATCTGGTGTGTGCCTGGGACCGCAGGAGGACGCGGACGCGGAGCACGACTACTAGTGCGAGCAGCACGAACAGGCGACGCAAGACGAGACGCAGGCTCACGACGCTCAGCAAGACCTCCAGTAGGACCAGTGTAGGGAGGAGCAGGCAGGGGGGAGGCGGGCTGTAACTTTGATTGCAACTGGACAGGCTGTGGACACTCTAAGGGAGGAGCAGGACCAGTAGAAGGCGGGAGACCAAGAACCTGCTCAAGGACCGGTACGAAGTACGGCCGCGGCCGCTCAGCGCCTCCTGAAACAGCAGGGACATCACCAGTACCCCCAGCGACAGCACCAGCGCCAGCAGTACCTCTGGCTCCCTCAGAAGTACCAGCGCCAGCAGCACCTCTAGTGCCAACACCCCCAGCAGCTCCAGTACCTCCACCAGCACCCGCAGCTCCTCCAGCAGGACCAACTCCAGCAGCCCCAGCAGCACCCCTAGTCCCAGCAGCTCCAGTACAGCATGTACGAGCACCTCCAAGACCAGTGGCTCCAGTACCTCCAGTGCCAACCCCAGGGTCAACAGCAACAGTAGCACCTCCAACTCCAGCAGCACGGCTCTAGCGCTGGGCAAACCACTCGCGCACCTTCTATAGAGAGGGTAGCTCCCGCCGAGATGAAGCACACGAAGGACCCCCAGACCCAGCACCACCAGAGGCCACACGAGCAGACCCAGCACCCCCACGCTCCGCAACCCCAGGCTCTGCACCCCCAGGCTCAGCACCTCCAGTCTCAGCACCCCCAAACTCAGTACCCCTAGCAGCACCAGAGTCAACAGCTACCTCGACAGGCTCGACTGCGTCTACCTGGGACACACCCGACGGGGCAGGACCCTGAGGGGGGAGAGGGTCTACCGGGGGGGGACCTGGCGCAAGGAAGAGCGACAGTGGGGGGAGGGGCGCAGTGCGGTAGGGGAAGAGACAGTAGTAAGGAGCCGACTCTTCAAAGGTGACGTCCTGGGAGGACAGAACACGGCGCAAGGTGGGGTGGTAAAATTGCCAACCAGGCGCGTCAGGGGGGAAGCCAAGGAAGACGCAGGGAACACCACGGGGGGATAGCTTGTCCGCAGACAAGTCGCGGACAAATGCCCGAGATCCCCAGACACGAAACGCAGACGCATCGCCAACCTTCCCCGTCCACCGCAAGATGGTGGAGGTCTCAGGCAAGGAGACCCGGGGCTGAAGGTTGATCTGATGCGCTGCGTACCAAACTGCAAACGGCCACGGAAAATGGGGAGCAGCCGCATGGATCATGGACGTACGAGCGACGTCCATGACCATGCCAATGCGGCGCTCAGCAATCCCATTTTGCTGTGGAGAGGCCGGAAGCGTGAAGGTCTGGCGGATGCCCTGTGCACGACAGAAGGCTCCCAGAAGGGAAGAGGAAAACTCCCCGCCTCTGTCAGAGTGCAGACGCAAAACAGGAAAGTCCGAGCCGAAACTCTCTCTGAGCTGGAGACGAGCTGCGCGGATCCAATCGATCAATACCTCAGTGACGTCACCCTTGCTGCGCAAGGGGAACACCGTGGTGTAACGCGAGTAGTCATCAACCACCAACAGGAAGTAACGCTCGTGATCCTGGCCACGGACGCGGGCGGGACCCCACACGTCCATGTGAAGAGTCTGCAGCGGAGCCTCTGTCGGATGAAACTCGGAGGAGTGAGGGCCGGCGCGCTGCCGCCCCTCGACGCAGGGAACGCAGGTAGGGGCAGGCCCCAGAGGGAGGGGAGGGAGGGACCGGGGGAGACCAGAGACAAGGTAACGGGAGGCCATGCCTCGGAGACGAGGCAAGGAGGGGTGACCAAGGCGGTGGATCCAGAGGAGAGTCTGGTGGAATAGGAGACGACACGAGCAGGGAGTAGACTCAGGACCAGACCTGGACGCTGTAGCAAACACCTGACCCGACGCAGCTACCCGACCAGACTCAGCAACTGGAGGAGACTCAGTAGTCAGTGTGTAGAGGCTCGACCCCGGCTGATGGGTAAACGAGGCCAAGTGTCGGCCCGTACGAGCACACGTACAGTGGGTCACCCGCTGACTCGCAGGAGTGAACTGGTCAACCCCCCAATCCTGTAGATCAGCACCACTCACCAAGTTCGTAGAGAATGAGGGGAGGTAGAGACCTGACAGGGTGGCAGAGGGGGCCGCCGGACACGGTAAGACAGTGGAGAAGTGGGCAAGGACAGGACCCCCAGAGGGGTCCGCCAGGGAGACCGCAACTGGCCGACTAAGCGGCGTAAGCGTGGTGCGGTCTTGAAAGGAGGAGCGGGAAGCACCGGAGTGAAGGGTGAAGGTGTGGAAGGCCTGAGCCGACGTGGTACCTGAGAGAGCAGACGCACCAGTACCTGGGGCAGCAGACGCACTAGCACCTAGAGCAGCAGCCTCACCAGCACCTAGAGCAGCAGCCTCAATGCCCGAGTCAGGCGGAACACACAGGTATCAGTCACCCTCATCACTAGTAGACACAACATACATGGCAGCAAGAATGGCATCATAATCCAGATCAAAGATAGCAACCCCTGACCTAAGCAGCTCACCCCAGCGGGGGATCTCAGTGGCGTCAGGGAACTGGAGACGCCAAGCGTCCGTCAGGCGGCTGAAGAAGCGCTGGGTGGTGTGCGGGCCACCGCACGGCTCACTTGTGCGGGCGCCGGTACGCAGGATGTAGGCACAAGGACCAGCACCCCCACCTTGCTGACGCACAGCGTACCACTAACGAAGCTGCTGGGGGGGCGGGGTCTCACGAGTGCGCTTCTGCTGCTGGCGCTGACCACCACCGAAGCTGCTCTGCTGCTTAGAGCCACCCCGACCAGCTCCACCTCCGCCGTCGTCACCTCCCCCACCCCAGCCACCGCCTCCTCCTCCGCTCCCACCGCCACCGCCGCCGCCGCCTCCGCCTCCACCGCCGCCACCGAAGCCCCCACCCCCGCCACCACTCCCACCGCCACCCCCACTCCCTTCGCCGCCTCCGCCGCAACCTCCACCGCCCTCGCCAGCCCCTCGAGCGCCCTTGCCCCCCTTGCTCTTGCCGGTGCGGCGTCTCCCGCTAGGGGCAGACGTAGCGCCGACCGACTCGGTGCCAACGAAGTTGACGGCAGCAGCACAGGCAACAGAGGGCAAAAGGGAGGGGGAGCACCCCTCAAAGAAGGGGGCACGAGGGTCACCACGAGAGGCTCCTACAGCGACTATACTCTTCTCAGCTACGAGGAGGCGCTCCTCGAGGAGGTCAACGGTGAGTGTGGTGGGGCAAACAGAGAGGAAGTGGTCCCTGACCGAGCGAAGGGAGTCAGGGAGCCGGGTGACTATGTAGTAGAGGGTGATTCACATAGGGGGGGGGGGGGGGGGGGTTCTTGGCGCAGAGCTCAGCAGGAAGCGCAGCGCGGTAGCGGGTGTCACTAGTGCGAAGGTGCGTAATGAGATCAGCGACTGTGCGAAAGGCTGCGAGGTCAGGGAACAGGTACGGTAGCATGAGGCGGCTAAGAGCAGCAGTGGCAAGGGAAGAGTAGCGTGCAACTACAGCGTCGTACAAGGTCTTAGCACTCTTGTACTGACTAAAGTGCGCGCGCTCAGTGGACGGCAAGTGACTACGCACAGCAAGACGGGCAGCAGCATCGCGTGTGGCCCACTGTGAGGGAATAGTGCTGTCAGCATCGGCAGCAGGGGCAGTAGAGGCGCCAGACGTGAGATCGAACAGTGAGAGACCATCTTTCCTATCGCACTGTAGGAAAAGTTGTAGATCATCGACCCAGACCTCAAAGTCAACAGCCCTACCCTCAGCATCAAAGACGAGAACGCTAGGGGTAGCCATGACAGCAGTGGCAGCAGGCTAGGGGCAGCAGCAGCACTAGCAACAGTAGGGGCGCGGCTCGGCGGTGCTCTTACCAGGGCAGGTGGGTAGAGGTCCGCAAGTGGTGGGGCAGGGCTAAGGCGCGCCGACAGGGACGGGGCCGCTATAGGGCGGCAGAGGACTGCCGCTCCTCTCTGCAGGGCAGGGCTGGGACGGCGGCGGCGGCCCCTGCTGTCGGCGGCGGCGGCGGCTGCAGTCGGCGGCTGCGGCCCCGGCAGTGGCGACAGCGGCTGCTGTAGACGGCGGCTGCGGCCCCAGCAGTGGCGGCAGCGGCTGCTTCTGTCGGCGGCTGCGGCGGCTGCGGCCCCGGCTGTGGCGGCGGCGGCTGCTGCTGTCGGCGGCTGCGGCGGCTGCTGCTGTCGGCGGCTGCGGCGGCTTCGGCCCCGGCAGTGGCGGCGGCGGCTGCTGCTGTCGGCGGCTTCGGCGGTGGCGGCTTCCGTTGCACGGGCGGCGACGGCTGGGCGGCAGGTCCGTGAGGGAGCCGAGAAGGGGCCGCGGAGGAGCCGAGAAGGGGCCGCTAGGGGTGGTGAAGGGGCCGCGACGGGGCCGTGAGGGGCCGCGAAGGGTGGCGACGGGGTCGAGAAGGGGCCGTGAGGGGGCCGCGAAGGGCGGCGACGGGGCCGAGACGGGGCCGTGAGGGGCCGCGAAGGGCGGCGACGGGGCCGAGAAGGGGCCGAGAGGGGCCGCGAAGGGAGGCCACGGGGCTGTGAAGGGCGGCGACACGGCCGCGAAGGGCGGCGACGGGGCCGTGAAGGGGCCGCGAGGGGCTGCGAAGGGGCCGCGAGGGGCGGTAAGGGGCCGCGAGGGGCTGCGAAGTGGCCGCGAGGGGCGGTAAGGGGCCGCGAAGGGCCGTGAGAGGGGCTGCGAAGGGCGGCGGAGGGGTCGCGAGGGAGCCGCGAAGGGGCCGCGAAGGGCCGTGAGAGGGGCCGTGAGGGGCCTCAAGGTTGGGCGCGACGGGTCGCTAAGGGCAGGGGACGCGACGGGAGGGCTGGCACACGGGGCGCGACTCGGGCAGGAGCGAAGCGCGCTCCGGGCAGGAAAAAACAAAATTTCGATCGTGGTGGGCCCTTGGAAACGTTCCCACTAGGGAACCTGCTCTATACCATGTGAAAGAACGAGGAATGAAATGACTAGGAAACAAGTGAGTACAAGTAGGAAACCCTAGAAATGTTGTACCCTTTAGTGTCTACCCCACTACAGCCTAGATAGACTATAGTATTTAAGTTTGACATTTCTATCCCTTGCATCCAATCATTCGCAAAATCTATCCGTAAATAAACCTCCTAGAGTACGGGGGAGATCTGTAGCATTTATTCTGCTAATGCAATGCACTTCAATTTCCTTATCATGCATTCACGAATGCGGCAAATGTTGATGTTATGCATGCAATATGGAAAATGTTTGTATACTAACAAGAGGACAAAACAACAGGGCACGGAACGTGGCGAATATGTTCCAGGGTAGCTTGTGAGTTTGGTATGAGCTGTGTAGTGCCCAAATTGTTTTTTTTTTTCCCCCCGTTTCTTTGGACAATGAGTCTATACTAAGTGTCTAGGTGAGAAAGACCGGACTTGACATCATTCACAGCTGATTCAAATAGGTAAACAAGCGTCCATGTGCATAACGAGTCTAATCTGTTGAAGGATAGCGAGTCATGCCACTATCAGCAATTTAGTATCCTGTTTGTATGTTTAACTCCCGTTTCTTTCTACCAATAGCTTCTTTTCCGTTTCTAGGTGAGACTGCTCGATTTTTATATGATTCCCTTGTAATTTGGCTGTGTGAACAAGCGTCCATGCGCAGAACGCGTCTAATCTATTGAAGGATAGCCAGTCATGCCACTGTCAGCAGTTTAGTGCCTTGGTCGCACTTCCCACCACAGGTGAGCACTGCCCTACCCATACTGCTACAACTGTTACTACTGCTGCTACTGCTACTACTGCTCCTGCTGCTACTGCTTCCGTTGCTGCTCCTGGCGTGGCCAGATGCAGCTCCAAGGCTGTCCGCGTGTGTCCCTCACGCCCCAGCAGCTTCGTGAGTGGTACATCAGTTGGGGTTGTCGGGGTGGCAGTAGTGGGAGTCGTCCTGGAGTGGGTAGTTCGGGAGTTTCTTGTAGTGGCCCAGTGCAGCAGGAGCGACTTCTCCGCGAGACTCGTTCGCCCCTGCAGCTTCGTGAGCGGGTGGAGCTGCTTAGGCAGAGGGTAGATAGCTTTGCTCTTGACTATGATGCTATTCTCACTGCAATATATGCATTGTCTACTAGTGCCGAGGGAGCCTGTCACTTGTGTGTGCCGCCTGACCCCGGTATCCAGTCTGCTGCTCCAGGTGCCGGTGAGGCTGCTGCTTTAGGTGCTCGTGCGTCTCCTGCTCCAGGTGCTGGTGAGGCTGCTGCTCTAGGCGCTCGTGAGTCTGCTGCTTCAGGTGCTTCTGAGTCTGCGCCTTCAGGTACTGTGTCTACTGAGGCACTACACACCTTCACGCTGGACTCAGGTGCTTCCCGCTGTTTCTTTCGCGACCGCACTGCCCTAGAGCAGCTCCCTAGACCGGTTGCTATCTCCCTGGCTGACCCCTCTGGGGGTCCAGTCCTTGCGACCTCCACCACTGCCCTCCCTTGTCTTGCTGTCCCGTCCGGCACACTATTGGGCCTTTACCTCCCCTCGTTCTCTACAAACTTGATGGCGGGTTCTGCGCTCCAGGACGCGGGTGTTCACTAGTTCACCCTTGCCTACGAGCGTGTGACACACTACACGTGTGCCCGGACGGGTCGTCACCTGGCTACCTTCACTCGGCAGCCGGGGTCGGACTTGTATAGATTGACCACTGAGTCCCCTCAGGTAGCGGCGTCTGCGTCTGCGTCAGGTCAGTTGTCCGCCCCCTGCTCGTGTCGCACCCTATCGCACCAGACCGTTCTCAAGCACCACCACCTTGGTCACCCCTCAGTGCAGCGCCTTTGTGGCATGCACTCCCGGTACCTTGTCTCTAGTCTTCCTAGGGTTCTCCCTCCCCTCCCACCCTCGCCTGCTCCTCCCTGTCTTCCCTGTATCGAAGGGCGGCAGCGCGCCACTCCTCACTCCTCGTTCCCCCCCACAGAGGCTCCCCTGCAGACTCTCCACCTGGACGTGTGGGGCCCAGCCTGTGAGGATCTAGGATTGAGCTCAGAAAAGAGAATGAGAATTGAACCGAATTGAATTGAATCATCCCCTGGGTACAACACGAGGCTATATATAGGCTCGACACAAGGCCCCGTAACCAGGTGTTACGCGAAGGTTCCGCGGGTCGCGTAGCGTCCCGAACATATCCTTAGCGAATTCGGTAGAAGGCAATTAGGTGGCAACCGAAAAGGCCAGAATTTGGTGCACGCAACCTAGCTCGGTGCTATAACTATAATAGAATATAGCAAAGCACCTAGCCTAGGAAATCAAGCAATTCATGCATGCATATGATTATCCTATGCTAGAAATAGCATGATAAAGTAAAGGCAAGCAAGCATAGCTGGCATAAGCCGTCGTACTCTCACACGTCCCCCCCTCAAAGCTGGGTGGCGTGAGATACACCCTGCTTGACAAGATAGTTCTTGAGAGCACGGCGTGCGTTGCCCATATCAGCTTCTGCAACCCAACTGTCCTCAGTGGGGTCGTATCCCTTCCAGCGTATCAGGAACTCAAGGGTCTTGCTGCCGCGGCGCCGATGAGAGAGAACGCGCTCGATCTTGTACTCGGGTTCATCCTGCACAAGAACAGGTGGAGGTGGCGGAAGCTGCCGTCCCTGGAACAAGTGGTTGGGGTCCTTGTAGGGTTTCAGTAGTCGCACATGGAAAGCATTGTGAAGCTTCCAAGTAGTAGGTAAGCGCTAGCGGAATGTAACTGGTGTCATCTGTGCCTCAACGAGAAAAGGACCACAGAAGCGAGGTCGGAGTTTGGATGGGAGGTGAGACAGGTTCAAGTTGCGCGTGTCAAGAAGCACCTGATCTCCGACTGCTACTGAGTGATCACGTCGCTGACGATCAGCATACTGCTTCTGGGAGGTCTGCATCGTGGTGAGTCATCGCTGAGTCTTCTCCCATTGCTGCTGCATGGTGGTGACGAAGTCATGTCCGGCTTGGACGTGTGCCGGTGTGGTTGGCTGCTGTGGTGTGAGTGGTTCCCGTCCGTAACACAGGAAGAAAGGAGTTTTCCCTGTGGCCGCATGTGATGCGTTGTTGTAAGCGAACTCTAGGGTCGGTAACTGTGTGTCCCAATGGCTGACGTCGTCTTTGCAAGCTGTGCGCAGTAACTGTTCAACCACCTGATTGAGTCGCTCTGTCTGTCCGTCAGTCTGGGGGTGGAATGTTGAAGACATTGCAAGCTTTGTCCCCAACAGTCCCATGAGCTCCTTCTAGAACTTACTCGTGAATTTCGGGTCTCTGTCTGAGATGAGTGTAGCGGGGATGCCGTGGATGGTGATGATGCGGTCGAAGAAGAGGCGACCAGTTGCTTGAGCTGTAGCTGTGGCGTTGGTCGGTATGAAGTGACCCATTTTGGAGAACTTATCGATGACTATGAGGATGGAATCGTGCCCCCGTGAGGTCGAAGGAAGTCCTGTGATAAAGTCGAGGCTAACGACCTGCCATGGCTGCTCCGGTACAGGTAGAGGCTGAAGTAACCCTGCTTTTTTCTGCTTGCTACTCTTCATCCGCTGGCACGTGTCGCAAGAGGTGACGAACTGCTGCACGTCTGCTGCCATCCCGGGCCAGTAGTAATACTTCGCTATCCCTGCTAACGTCTTGTTGCTCCCGAAATGTCCCGCGTAAGGTACGTCGTGAAACTCCTCCAATAGGATCTGCCGTAGCGGGGCGTAATTCGGTACCCAAATCTTTCCTGAACCCTTCCTTACTGCTAGGTCTTTCTCCCACTGTAACAGCTTCTTAGTCTGTGCTGTAGCAATCTCTGCGTCCACGGAGTACCATGTTGGAATAGACCCTT